GGCGGGGCTGCTGGGGCTGGAGTCAGCGGTGGTGAGCAGCTGCAGGGAGGAGGAGGCCGTGTGCAGGCTGCAGCCGTCCTCGCTCTCACTGGCCGCCGGTTCCATCTCGCCGTCCGGCTCTGACAGGAAGCCCTCGGCCGCGTCGCCGTCGTCTTCCTCGGCCCCGTTGACCTCCTCGTCTCCTCTGGCCCCTGAGTCCACGTCTCTCTGACCGACGTTGATTCCATTTTCTGGCGCCCCCTCCTGTGAAGATGGATGATGAGATGAGAACTTTTTTTTTTTGGAGCTAGGAACCGATTATCAGGTCTGCTGGTCAGGAGGTCGTACCCTGAGATGCCTCACTGTCAGTCGGCCGTTTTCAAAAGTCAAGTCTGCCGAGAGAAGGAACAGGAGAATGAATGACATGAAGAACCCTGGAGACGGAGACCAGGTCAGGGGTCATACCTCCACCGTAGCTGAGGTTCTGATCGCCCCATTTTTCTGGGCCACAGTCTGTGGTCGGCTCTGATGGACCCGACTCCTCACTGCGTCGCACCGACTCACCATGTGGAGCGGCAGTACCTGCGTGGACCTCCAGGGGGAACGCGGTTGGACAGTGGCCCTGGCCGCTGCACAGGGACGACAGTGAGGCCTGGGCGTGGTCCTGGACGTGGTCCTGGGCGTGGTCCTGGGCGTGCAGCTCCTCCGTCTGTTTCTCCAGACCACAGAGGAGAGAAGACGAGGACCGTGGGACCACAGCGGGGACAGACGGGTGAGGCCCCTGGAAGGGCCCCGTGTCCCAGGCACCGGACAGAGCGTGACCGTTGTCCTCACACAAGGACAGAGCAGCTTCAACCGCAGCGGCGTCCAACGCCTCTGCAGCGTCATCTGCCTGCAGGAGGACGAGGAGGAGGAAGAGGAGGACGAGGAGGAGGAGGAGGAGGAGGAGGAGGAAGAGGACGAGGAAGAGGACGAGGACGAGGAGGAGGAGGAGGAGGAGGAGTTAAGGATTCATTTTTATTTCAAACGAAGGGAATCGTCGTGCATTTGTATCCATTTTGAAGCGACAACGTCTCTCTGTGTGCCCCTCCCCCCCCCCCGGGTCGTACCTTGTCTTCGATGATGGCGATGATGTCTCCAACGGTCTTCAGGTCCAGTTCGTCTCCCATGTACGGGACACCGTCATCGTCCTCACCGAGCCCTGGATCAACGACAGAGTGACGTCACAGGTTACAGTCGACTTTATCCTACCAGTCAGAACACACACACACACACACACACACCTGTACTGGCTGCACAGGTGGCGTCCACAGGCAGAGGGGGGGTGGAGGTCACGGGGGCAGAGGTCAGGTCAGTACCAGCCATGAAACTCAACGGAGCAGAGAACTGTGAGGGGCCGGCCTCCAACAGACGGGACAACATCGGAGCCCCTGCTGTGAGCACGCACACACACACACACACACACACACACAGGTCAAACATATGAGGAGTACAGGTAAAGGTACAGTACAACAGATTAAATGTTAGTTTTTCTTCCTAATCCACGACTCCAGAAATATTCCAGCAGAGTCTTTTTGAACCCAGAAGACGGGCAGCGTGTGGCGCTGTTCAGTTTAGTTTAGTTTAGTTTAGTTTAGTTTAGTTTAGAGGGAATGTGGGGTTCAACAGCTTGTTGCTGAAGGCCTAGACTGCTGGGAGAACTCCCATGATGCCTCAGCTGCCTCTCATATTTATTTAGTTGTATTTTATCACCTCAGCCTTTCCGTGGAGGGGACGGGGGGGGGTGGGGGGGGGGGGGCAACGGCTGCTGCTGAGAGTTAGAATCCACAGTGTGTGTTTGTACCTGTGACCCGAGGCAGAGGTGGACTGGTCAGAGCCAGGTCAGCTGCTCCCATCATGCCACAGGCCGACAGGTCGCCATCACCAATCTGAAAGTACACACCATGAACAGGAAGAGGTGTAGACGAGTCCAGTGAGAGGCACGCCCCCCCCCACCCCTGACCCCCGACCCTGACCCTCAGGAGGAGTGGGACGGTCGTGTTGTACTCCCTCTGACTCACCGTTCTGGACTTGGAGGCCAGGAGGCTGCCTTTCTTCAGTAGCTCTGACAGCAGGGGGGAGGGCGGGGGCGTGGACCTCTGGCACAGGACTTTCTTCTGGCCGGGGTCATCCAGAGGTGACCCATTAACAAACAGGTCGTCGGCACCAAGTCCAGGTGACTCGGAGAAGGTCATCGACCGGAGCGATGCTGGAGCCTGGAGGGAGGGGAGGAACAGAAGGATGAGCGCCGTCCGTCTGGCCCCGCCCACCAGGTCAGGGCCACACCCCGTCTTCTCCTTACTTACGTTCTTTGTGGCCGTAAAGTCCAGCGTCAGGTGGTCCAGTGGGTCGCCGGGGGACAGGTCCTGGTTTGGGGAGCTACAGCCTGAGGGGGAGTTCATGTCGGCGCCACACACTCGCTTGTGTGTGTTCTTGGCCACCTGTCTGGCTGAAGGAGGAAGAAACAGAAGAGGAGAGTTCTCATCAGTCACGTCTGAGCCAGATTGATTTACCCGACCGTGAGGATAACTCCCCCTAGAGGGACAACAAAGCTTTACATCCTCAAGTGAGGTCCAACCTTTGTCACGGGTCGGAGCTCAGTTTAGACAAAACTAGTGAAAACCTGGTCGTAGGTTCTGTTCTTTTACCCCGAAAAGCAGCATCTGTGCTTCTCCTTCTCACTTCTGCCTCCTCCTCCTCCAGCTTCTTCTTCCTGACGGGAGCAGACGACACTTTCACAGCTTTGTTTTACCACCAACTTCAGACACAACTGTTAATCTGTCGTCTTCTCACTGTTGGATTTCGTGCCATATCTCTTCCAGTTTGGAGTCCAGATGTCCGGCCTGGATCAACTCAGCTTCTCTCTTCAGTTTCCTGCAGAAACGACATCATCGTCATCATCCACCTCATGAACATGAAACTGTAATAACAGCAGAGGTGTCAGGAAACATCTCCTCTCCTGATCCCGTATCAATCTCCTCCTCCATCAGTTATTGATTTTTTCCAATATTCCTGGTGTTGGTTCATGTTCTTTTTCTTTTCTTTCTTCCCAAGTGATGCCAGATGTAGATCCCTCTGTTCCAGAGTTACTACATACTGTTTCTCCAGATTCTTTCCAATAACTCGGTCTGTAATAACAGCACAGACTGATGGACCTGATGATGTCCAGAACCTAACGTTGACTCCTCGACAACATAAACGTCTCAGGAAGGTCACAGTTTTCTACTCTCTCACATCGTCTTCTCTCTCCTGTCCTAACAAACCCTCTAACCTCTGACACACACCTTACTCACCTGCTGTACGTCTGACACAGTCCTGCTGTTGTTGTTGTTGTTGTTGTTGTTGTTGATTCACTAACGCAGTGATCAAATAAATAAATGTCGATCGTTTTGAAACCATTCATGATTTTATTTGTATCAGTGATGTCATCAGCCACAGGTCAACGTCAGCTGGACGTACTGACCTCAGGTGTCGCCTCCAGAAAATCTGAATGCATGTGACTCCGTTCACGGGTTAGGTCATGTGTCGGTGACCTTTGACCTGGTGACAGCTGCAGCACCAGTACCTGTGCTTCTCCTGAGTCTCTCTGATCAACCTCTTCAGTTCTTCGATCCGGTCTGTCGTCAGTCGCCGCACAATCACGTCCTCCACCGTGTCCACCACCTCGCCCTTCTCGCCGCGCTTCCTCCTGTGCACAGCAGAACCAACCATTGGTTAACACGGTGACGCTCAGCGAGTCAGCGACCTGGTCGAGTTAGCGCTCACTTTGGAGACTCTGTGGCTTCCAGGAGCTCGGAATATTGGGAGGCGCAGTGCTGTGGGGAAAAAAAGAGCGGGAAGAGCACGGTGACCGGACAGAGAAGTGACGTCGGTCAAAACTACGGTCCGCACCGGTGCCGTACCTTCTGGGAAAACCAGTCCGGTGGTCGTCCAGGCTCCGCAAAGGGTTTGATGGCTCTACTGACGGAGACCCTGAGGAGTTAGAGTAGAAGATGAAGAACAACGACACAAACCAGAGACAACGTCTACAACGATGAAGCAGTACCAGTTCTGGTCGCCGCTCGTCATGACAGACGTGGCCAAACACAGCTTCTCCCTCACCGACCATGGTTCTGTGGGTCCAATCACGAGCAGCTTGTGTTCTGCAGGGACAGAGACAGAACCAGCACACGGTGTGTGACCCCACGTCAACCACAAGGGGGTGTCCCTAGTCTGGACACAGACCGTCTCCATTCATGTGACTCTGATTATTCATCAGACTTTACAGAAATCTATCTGAATGTTCTGCTGCCGTCTGATTGGCTGTTCAGCCCTGAACTAAATTCAGAAATTCAAAAATATTTAAAATTAGTTTCAGTTTCACTGAGATACTGTCCATCCATCCATCCATCCCTCCATCCATCCATCCATCCATGGCTGAGTGGCAGCTCACAGTGGACCCATTGTTACCGGTAGAGAAATGACTAACACTGTTGGTGGGAAACTGTTAAAAGCGCGGTATAAAGAGATGTTCTCAGTTGAGATGATGGTCATTAATGGTCGCAGGAGGCTGACGTTGCTGCTGCTGCTGCTGCTGCCACGCAGGAAGTTAGCGGCGCTAACCGATAGCATGTCCTGACATTTTCACTGCGCCCTCAGTTACTCACTTCCAACCCCGTTTGCCATCCTCCTCTCATCCCGGCCAGCCTCACATGTTGATGGATGACGACCTCGGGAATGGAAACAAAAAAAGCAAACAAACAAACAAACAAATAAACAAAGAAAAACTCCGGCGAGTCCCGAAGTGAATCAAAACGTTTGCCGTACTTAGAAAGCGGAGGCTAACGTAGACCGAGAGAATGTCACGTTAGGGATGTTGAGGCTTTTCGGGCTCACACACCGATTCACCGCTGTCCTTTAAAGTCACAGTCTGTCTGTGGCCACAGGGGGGTTGCTTCGCCGCCCACACTTTTATTCTGGCCGGTTTTATCTGGATCGACCCTCCGACAAAGTCTTTTTTCTCAGGCGGCAGCCAAAGACCGAAGAAACGATCACGTAAATGTGTTGTGTTAAGAGTGAATGAAGTGTTCGTACACGCCCACCTCCACGGTGAAGATGGTACGACCCGCAGGCTCCTGAAAATAGTCCTAACTCGGATGAATAAGTGCTGCATATATGAAATAAATACATAATTACCGATGTTGAATCAACTCTGACGTTAAAAGAACACCGTGTTATCGTCTTACTGCGGTGTTTACATCGTCGTAATAACTGTCGACAAAGGAACATCGTTGTGGGATTTCCCTGATAAACAAAACAACGATGTAGAACTAATGTCTCACGTGATTTCACGGACCGTGACAGACACGGAGTCCTGTATTTTATTATAAATGTTTGTGTTTATATAGAGTAGCATGTAGAGTTGAAACAGTAGCCAAATCGACCCACTAGAGGGCAGTAAAGCAACCGTGGCACTGTGAGTAGAAAGAGCTGAGGAGCGTTTTCTTAATTTTTGTCAAAAACATTGTTGTTTATCTTATTTGGGCATAAAGTTGATAATATACTGTCGTAATATTGTTAATAATTATAACAAAATGTTATTATTAAGGTTGTTTTTTGTGCTCTGGCACCAAACTCAACTCAATTGTAATTATTTTACATTGAATATAAACCGTTAAACTAATTTTAATCTAATAACTTTCATTATAAAGTCGTAGATCGTTAACATTCCTCCATATTATCAACAATAACTTATTGTTTTATGTGTGTGTTTTTTTTTCTGACAAAGAGGGAAAGCAGTTATTACAGGGAAACGAATGTTAATGAGGCGTTTGACATTTAACTCTATAACACCGAGCCCTTCACCTCCTGCTGCTCCTCCTCCTCCTCACAGAACCAGTCTGCTCTCCAGGAGGAGCTGTGGCAGCCCACCTCCATATCAAACACATCATTCTTCATGTGTGTGTGTGTGTCGTCATTCTGACCCTGCATCATCCTGTGTTTGGACTCATTCCACCGGTCAGAGCCGTGGCCCTGAGTCAGACACACCTACAGACTGAATACTGAACCATGAAACCAGGAATTCATTTTCAACAGTAACAGAGATAATTAATTACAGCGGTGTGAAAAACAACCCGGTCCGTTCCCCTGAGTGTCGCCTCGTTACAGTCCCACGTCTCCTGAAGGAAACAGAATCACCTCTGTAGACGTGTTAGGGTCAGTAAACACACTCTAAAGAGCCTGCGTGTCATATCTGCCCCCGTTATTAGCGCCGGTTGTCTCAGGTGAGAGGCTGATGGGGGCAGAAGAGATAAAGGTTACACCACAGGTGCCTTTAACTGCTGCACTGAGCCCATCCTGGGGGCAGAACCACGGCTAATGATCTGAAGTGGAGAGAACTGCCCTCACCTCTGTCATCAGTCCTGCTCCAGTCCTGACGGTCGGTCGGTGAGGAGTCGAACCATCAGCAGCAGACGGGTGAGTGATGGTCTACATTAATATTAGGTGATTGATTTTTTGATTTTTAATTTCCTACAGATGTGTGTGAATGTCTGTGTGAGATTAGGTTTCTATATTTTAGATTAATATTATTAGATTTGACAATATTATTTTTATTGAAATAAACAGGACAAATTCTTGACTGATTTTTAAAAAAAAAAATTCACTCTATAACTTAATAACGTTAGGGTTCAATAAAAATCCGTCTCTGAGACAAAGAACGAGACGCAGCATAAACAGAATCATTGTTTTGTTTTTTATCGACAAACAAAGAACGAGACGCAGCATAAACAGAATTGTCGTGTTGGTTTTTCAACAAAAACATTTTACGAGCTCAACAGGTAAATGTTAACGTTAGTTGTATTTACAATTTCAGCCAACTCCCCCGAGGACTCCCCCAGGAGTCTCCCTGCACCTCCTGCAGCTGAGGCCCAGGGAGTCGGGTCACAAATTGAAACAGACGCAATTTGTATTTTACTGCACGGAGACAGTGATTTTTTTTACAGACTATAGTTTAAGAATTAAATGTGACTTGTTTTTCCGTCTCTTCACTGTAACGTCGCTCATACTTGCTGTTATTTTTTTCTTTAATCTTCCTTGTTTTTCCCACAGCTGTAGTTTTCCTGTCTGATCCCAGTGGGACAGGATGCCAAACAACATGGCTAAGATCGCAGACGCTCGAAAGACAGTGGAACAGTTGAAGCTGGAGGTGAACATCGAGAGAATGATGGTGAGTCGATGTGGTGGGATGGTGGGTCGTGATCATGCCTTACAGCAGGAAGGTCGTGTGTTCAGATTCTCCTGATCGACTGCTCCGCCTTAACAACTGACTTCTGATTACAACTGAAAAGTCATTTTGAAGTGAATGAAATCCACTGACTACAGAACCACTTGTTCTGGTTCTTGTTCCTTCCTTGTTCCACACCTGCAGGTTTCCAAAGCAGCGGCCGACCTCATGGCCTACTGTGAAACTAACGCCAAAGACGACCCACTGGTGACGCCCGTCCTCAACTCAGAGAACCCGTTTCGAGAGAAGAAATTATTTTGTGTGATTTTGTGACTTTAACAAACACCAAAAAAACAAACAAAAACAACCTGTGAACACATTTGTTGTTGTTGTTTTTTAAATATAATGTAGTTTTTACAACTTTAAAAAAAGTCTGTTTGTGTTTGAAGCTTTTTTAGATTTTCTCTGATGATGGTTTAGACATTAAAGCCTTGTTGAAAATAAATGAAAAGTCCTGCTCTTGTGAAGTCAGATTCTTCTAGAACAATATAATTTAAAAAACACTACAATAATCACACATTATGTCCGTTTTTTGTGCCTCATCTACCGTCTATTTTTATTATTTTTTATGTTTTAGTTTTTTTGTGCAACCTTTCACTTGATAGTTCTTGTCTATTCTTGGTTTATTTAAAAGCAATTTGCCATTTTATGAACTTTTAGCAATTTTCTTTTGTGTCAAATGTTCGTGTTTTCTTAACGTTTCTACGTCTTTTTTGATTGAATGCACGAAAAATACAAAAACTTTATTGAAACTGTTCAAAATACAGTTTAAACTATTAAAAACAGAATAAAGAAGAAGCGGAGTGACTTTTTAGCCAATCAGAATGCAGAACACAATGCACGATGCAAATCCGTGAAGTTGCGAAACCGTGAAAAGTAAACCGCGTTATAGCAAGGGATCACTGTATCTCCTTTTATCTCAGCATGATCTAAAAGTGGATTTTCTCAGCACGCTCTCGGTTCTTATGTATGTTTGATGCTATTGTTTCATTGTCCTCAGGTCTGACATACATAGTTTTGTTTTTTCTCTCGTTTGATTGTGGATTTTTGCCTCTGGCCACAGTTTTATCCAGCAAGCATTCAAAGTTTCAGTTTTCATCTCCCGAATAGCCCTCTGAATGTTTTGGAGACATGATGCGATGGTGTATCCACGCCAGTAGTCCTTTAGTGAGAAATCTTGATCCGAGTCCATAGCGTCAACAAGATGCTGCAGGGTGTTGCGCGTATAGAGAGCCTTGAAAGCGCGGATGATGCCTTGGTCCATGGGCTGAATCAGGGATGTAGTGTTTGGTGGCAGAAATTCGATTTGCACACCATCATATGTCATATCATCAGAGTGACCTCCGGCGTTGTCAATTAGCAGAAGCACTTTAAAGTCTAGTCCCTTTCCTCTCAAATAACACTTGACCTCCGGGATGAAACAGTTTTTGAACCAATCCAGATTGAGCGCTTTTGTCATCCAAGCCTTTGCATTGTACATCCAGTAAACGGGTAAATCATCCTTATTTTTGTTTTTCAGTGTTCTGGGATTTTTAGACCTATAAATAAGCCCTGGTTTAATCATGAAACCTGCAGCATTCCCGCACATAACCAGAGTCAAACGATCTTTTTGAGCTTTAAAGCCTGGGGCTTTGGCTTCTTCCTGCATGATGAAGGTGCGGGAGGGCATTCGTTTCCAAAATAAGCCAGTCTCATCCATGTTAAAAACTTGATCAGGCTTATATCCCACTTCCTCAATGATCGCTTTGAATTTATTGTTCACGAACGCTTCTGCTTCAGCGGTATTCGCAGAGGCCATCTCTCCGTGCAGAGAAACATTTTTAAGTCCAAAGCGTTTCTTAAAGTTTTCAAACCAGCCCTTGCTGGCATTAAAAGTACTTTAGAAACGTTTCAACAAATAACTTCTGTAATGTACTGTCAAATAATAATTTTAATCATCAACGTGAACAGAAGGCTTCAAATTGCGGAGATTAGCACCGCCCACCGTGAACGGGAGAAAATTAAAAATGATTATGAAAAAAATACAAATTACCTGGTCTTGTTGCGGGCAGTTGCAACCCTTTTTGAATCCTTATTAAAACTTATTGCTGCTGTCTTCCTTATGTTTTTTTCTTCCTTCTTTATGGAACGAACGGAAGATTCATTAATTCCATAATGCCGACCTACAGCCGCATAGCTTTTACCTTCATTTAGCATGTCCAATAGTTTTACTTTATCACCGATAGACAGCATCTTCCGCTGCCTTTTGGTCCCTACCGCAGGTACTTTTGCCGGTCCAGAGCGTTTTGTCGACATTATGGGGTTTGATAAACTCGAAATTGCAAGAGAATTTGCACGTACGTAATGTCAATTTGGCAAGCTGTTTTACGTACGTGTACATATTAAACCGCAACGTTATTGGCGCACAGGTAGAGAAGAAGCGGAGTGACTTTTTAGCCAATCAGAATGCAGAACACAATGCACGATGCAAATCCGTGAAGTAGCGAAACCGTGAAAAGTAAACCGCGTTATAGCAAGGGATCACTGTATATGTAAATGTAACTTTAGGAAAAGGAATAGTGACGTCACTCTGCCGTTATTGGTCCGCTGCTGTTACGACAGGAAGTGTGCCGATATTTGCGACAGTGTATCGATTGACGGCACCCACGTGTTCTTCCTGCTGGTCTTGCTTCTTCATAGTAAACATGGCAAAGGTCCTTAAAAAGAGCGTGAAAAAGAAAAAGAGTGTTAAAAAGAGAAGTGACGTCAGCAAGAAAAGCGCAAAGAAACAGACGAACGCCGATGACGAGGAGGAATTAATGGAGGATTTGAACGTGGACGATGGAAGCGTGGACAGCGGAACGGAGGAGCCTGACTGCGATGGCAGCGAACGAAAGCGGCTCAAGCTGCTGGAGGCGATCAGCGCCCTGGGCGGCAAGAAGAAGAGGCGGATCGGGGAGAGGTCCGAGGCGGCTGTCAACATGTCCGAGTTCACGGTGAACGCCGAGGGAGAGGGCGACAAAATCCAGCTGTCGGATCTGATCCAGAGCGCCAACGAGACCCAGACGGTCCCGCTGAAGACGAGGAAGCAGCTGAAACACCTGCAGCAGCAGCACAACACTCTGGACAGTCCGCTGAGCAAACAGGAGACCCAGAGGATCCAGCGGGATGTGGCGTTCCAGAAGACGGCCGCGGAGGTGTCTCGCTGGAAGGGGGTCATTTCACAGAACCGGCAGGCTGAGCAGCTGGTGTTCCCCCTCAACCAGGAGTCTGCTGGACCCAAACCCATGGAGCGGGTGGTGACGAGCTGGAGAGCAGAGACCCCACTGGAGCAGCAGGTCTTCGCCCTTCTGAGTGCCAACAAGCAGCCCACCCTGGACCCCGTCCTCACCCCCGTGGAGAAGTTGTCGCAGAGAGCCATCAGTTTAGAAGAGGCCAAAATCCGGCGCGCGGAGCTGCAGAAGGCCCGGGCCCTGCAGTCCTACTACGAGGCCAAGGCCCACAGAGAACGGAAGATCAAGAGCAAGAAGTACCACAGGGTGCAGAACAAGGCCAAGCGAAAGGAGTTCGTCAAGCAGTTTGACCAGATGGTGAAAACGGACCCGGCCGCCGCGCTGGAGGAGCTGAACAAGATCGAGGTGGCCCGGATGCAGGAGAGGATGTCGCTGAAGCACCAGAACAGAGGCAAGTGGGCCAAGTCCAAGGCTATCATGGCCAAGTATGACAAGGACGCTCGCAAAGCGGTGCAGCAGCAGCTGGAGGTCAACAAGGACCTGACGCAGAAGCTGGTGAGATCTCTGAACGATGAGGAGGAGGAGGAGGAGGAGGAGGCAGCAGTAGGAGAACCGGAGTTGATGCCTGACTTTGTGAATCAGGCCGAGTCGGGCCTGGATTCTTCTAATCCTTGGATGAAGGCTCAGCTGCCAGAAGCTTATGCAGAGAGACTAGAGGAAGAGTCTGTGGGCGTGACACCGGAGAAGGCTGAAATGGAAGTGAACAAAGCTGAGGAGGAGGAGGAAGAGGAGGAGGAGGACAACAGAGAAGAGGAGGAGGTTCTCCTCAGTCAGTTTGAGCAGAGGAGGAAACTCAGTCGACTCCAGGAGGCTGACGTCAAACTAGTTCCACAGGTGGAGAACCAGGAGGAGGAAGATGCAGCACAGGAATCCTCGGACCATGAGGAGGAGGTGGAGGAGGAGGAGGAGGAGGTGGTGGAGGAGCAGCTTGCTCACTTCACCAGTCTCTTCCAGGCAATAACCAAGAACTCACAGGACGATGGAGCGGAGCGAGCGGCGCCGGTACAAATGGAGGAAGGGCTGGTGAGGATCAGGACCGTGGAGGACGTGGAGCTCCTCACGGAGGATCTGGTAGCAGCGGATCAGCCCCCACAGAGCGACCCTGCCCCCCCCGCAGAGAACCCGCCCAGCACCGCTGCGGCCGCAGGCAAAAGCAGGAAGAACAGGAGAGGGATCGAGCTGACGGAGGTTCTCACCAAAGACACGGTGGACATCGACGTCCCCCTGGGTCCAACGGTCACTGAAACGGAAGATACCAGCGAGGAGGTCAAAGGTCAAAGAGGGCTCATCAGCGAGGCCTTCGCCGGAGACGACGTGGTCGCCGACTTCATCAAAGACAAGAGGAAGCACGAAGACGAAGGCAAACCTAAGGTGGTGGACCTGACGCTGCCCGGCTGGGGGGAGTGGGGGGGCACCGACCTGAAGCCCTCCACCAGGAAACGCAGGCGGTTCAGACTCAGGAGTGTGCCCCCTCCCCCGAGGAAGGATCAGCATCTGCCCAGTGTCATCATCTCAGATAAGAGGAACAGTTCCATCACCCTCCACCAGGTGGAGAGCCTGCCCTTCCCCTTCACAAACCCCTCCCAGTTTGAGAGCACGATCGGCGCCCCCGTCGGACGCACCTGGAACTCAGAGCAGGTCGTGCGAAAGGTCACCAAACCCAAGGTGGTCACCAGGCTCGGAACTATCATCGAGCCCATGACCCAGGAGGAGCTGATGAAGGGCAAACAGTAACAGTGGGGGGGCGGGGTGTGTGTGTGTGTGTGTGGGGGGGGGCATTATGAGAAGAAGCTACAGTTCAAAGACTTTGGTTTTTGTTGATTGTCGTCAAAGAAAAAAAAAATTTCATTACATTTCTGTCCCGCTCCACAGTGACCTTATTTTCCTTCTTCTTCTTTTCCTTCTTCTTCTTCTTCTTCTTCTTCTTCTTCTTCTTCATTTTTACCCTCCGTGGTGTTCATGTTCAAACAGAGCAGTAAATAATACCAGTTTTTTTCTAACGTGTTGTTGATGTGAAGGTCAGTAACTTTCACTCTTCATTCTGTACAAACAGCAAAATAAACAAAAAAAAAAACTGAACGACGTCATGGAACTATTTCACTTTTGTTCCTAATTCCAACAAGATTTAAAAAATTTGACTAATGTGTTTAGAAACGAGTTTGTTGACAGACATGTAAATGACGGCTTCATGTTCAAATGTCAGGATGGAAACATGGAGAAGTCGGTCTGACATTGGTTATACAGATTGTAGTATTGAACATATGTGTTTATATATGTATATCTATGTATATAGATATACATATATAGATCTATATGTATATGTATATGTGTGTGTATATATATAGATATGTGTATATATGTATATAAGTATTTATATACATATATACACATGTATATACATATATGTATAGATATATATACATATATGTGTATATATATAACTATATATATAAATATGTGTGTATATATATACATATGTGTATATTCACATATATCACTGTTGTGTTTATGTTGTTTATGTTGACGATGGTTTTAGTTTTCATTAGTTCATTAAAAATTGAAAATTTAAATTTAAACATTTATTTTACACTGTACACAATCCAGAGGAATAGTGACTGTAAAGATTTATAAATAAAGGGAACAAAGTCCATCCATATCTGATCGTCAGGTTAAATATTAACCACAGCGCCACCATCAGGGTTCTACAGTGACGTTCTACATTCACCTACGGCTGTGTCTGAATATATAAATTCAAGATTTTTATTATATTTTCAGAGCTGTTCAGAAAGCAGACAAAAGTGAAGGAAAGATGGTGAAAAACGGGACGCTTTTATCTCATTGGCCGCCGCTACACTGCCGTTTGTTCTGTCACAGCCAATGACGCGACCTCTGTCCCTGAGGAGAAACCTCTTGGTTTCAGGAAGCCATTCAAATGAGGGGTGTGGTCATGTTAGTGTCAACAAAAGGTGCTGAGAAAACAGGTGTGTGTTCAGGTGTGTGTTCAGCTTCCACGGCAGAGAGACGTCAATCTGGACCTGACCGAGGTAAGAGAGAGAGCGAGTGTGTGTGTGTGACTTCTTTCGTTTTCACCTCAGTCACGTCTGAAACTGGAGACACTTTAAAACCTGTGTCTGAGACAAAAGTGTGGAAGAAGAACCTGCATGGAGTCAGACCGAGTTTGACAGGAATTCTTACAAGAATAACTTGTTGCATGTAGTTACTACACACACACACACACACACACACACACACACACAGACAGATGAATGAGGAAGTCAGACCTGGTTCCACCTGGTGGACAGTCACAGAACAGGTGACAGAAAATCTGGATTTACTTTGACTCTACTTGACTTTACTTTGGACCCAGATCCTGGGACACAAAACCAAAGTGCAGCCCCCGCTCCTGTCAGACAGGTTTTATTCGGGGGGGGGCAACGACAACAAATGACAAATGTATGAATTGCAAATAGTACTTTGTCTTCAGGCAGTACTGTGGTTTAAACCTTAAACTCCAACTCAAACACGCTGCACCTTTAAATATGTTTAAATCTCTAATCGTCCAGTGGTAACTGGAAGGACTGTTTAAATCAAACTACTTCAGAATGTGTTCATAAATGTTTCTGTCATTGATTATTATTTATTCAAGTTACAAATATATTGTTCGTTAATAAAAAAATATCAGGTTAAGAAATTCAGCAGCATGGACTTTATTATAAGGGAAATGCTTTTAAATCTCCCGCGGGCCACAAAAAAAAAAGGGTTTGACGGGCCACATTTGGCCCGTGGGCCTTGAGTTTGACACATGCTATAATCTGTTGTTTGATTTATTTTTTTATATAAATAATTTTTCCACATTATTAAAAGGCATTAAACACAAACCGCAGAGTCAACACCACATGTTCAAACAGTTGTTGATGTGATTGAAATGTAATTGTCTGTTAAATAAACTGTAATTATTTGGACACCTGAGATTCAGTCTCGTGTCCGACAGACGAAGCTGTAAGGACTGCCTCTGATTGGACCTTTGATGGGAAGACTTTCAAAGAATTAAAGTCACAGCGTTTTTCTCATTTGTCACCGTTTGTCAGACGTCGTCGTCACCACCATCGCGGTGTCATCGGCGTACGTGTTGATGACGGCTTTGTTTCTAATGTTTCCACTTCAGTTATGGCCAGTTTTGGAGGCCACGCCCTTCCAGGGACCTTTTTCCTCTTCTTCGGCTTTTGGCTGGTGGTGAAACACACTCTCCGACACAGCTGTAGAACAGCTCGGACCAAAGGCAGGCACAGCGACGCCCCCTTCCTGCAAAGGATGGAGTACATTGAGGGGGGAATTCAGGCGTTTGCGTCGTTTGTGGGTGAGTTTTCCTGGAGATCGTCACTTTTTCTGTCTTAACTTCTTAAACCTGTTCGTGACTTTTGTCGGATGTTATCCTGTCACAGGCATCTTGGTTGAACAGTTTTACCCAGGCGGACCAATCGCTCACCTCTATGACGCGGAGAACCACTCCTGGGTCAAGTTGATGAACTGGCAGCACTGCACCATGTATCTGTTCTTCGGGATTTCTGGAGTTTCCCTGATTGTCACGAAAAGATTTCAGCTGACGGCGCTGCGTGTGAATTGCCTCACTCTGTCTTTGGCGCTCTTCATGGAAGGTATGTTCTGTAAAACAGTGGTCCCTAACCCCGGGGCGCGGCCCGGCACCGGTCCGTGGGTTAATTGGCACCGGGCCGCACACGGTCCGTGGGTTAATTGGCACCGGGCCACACAACATTATTTCCGTTTTATTTATTATCTAATTCTGAAGGATGTTTGATTTTGAAAACGTTCTTCTCCACCCTTCAGGGTTTCTCTTTTACTTCCACCTGCACGGGCGCCCTCCACTGGACGCTCACATCCACACCGTGCTGCTGGTGCCGGTGTTTGCTGGATCGGTCAGTACCATGTTGGAGGTTTTCATAAAGGACAACATCATTTTGGAGCTGTTCAGTGCCGGCATGTTCATCCTGCAGGGCACGTGGTTCTACGAGGTAAAGAAGAAACATCGACACCACCCTCACACCTCAACTTATGGCCCACAAATATGGACCAGAGCAGTGGTCTGCAACCTTTATTGATCTAAGGACCACCTAGTCAGTACCTAGGATGAGTACATTTTTCAAAATAAAGCATTTCTTTAGGCCATATTCTGTCAGGATTGGAGTCTGAATCCTGTAATTTATTTTTTTTACATTGCCAGATGTTTAAAGAAAGTAGAAAGTAAATATAATTGAAGAGATTCTCTATAAAGTAAGTAATTATTATTTTAATTATTTTACTGTGACCTAGTACCGGTCCACAAACCAGGGGTTGGGAACCCCTGGGCTAGAGCATGTGAAATAGTCCAATCATCTCTGCTAACGTTCAGTGTTTCTTTGAACTGAAGCGTCTGTGATTTCAGATCGGCTTCGTCATATTCCCTTTAAATGGCGTGGAGTGGGACCAGAACCAGCACACCAACCTCATGTTTGTCACCATGTGCTTCGGCTGGCATTTAGCTGCAGCTTTGCTCCTGGTCGCCGGCAACTCTGCTGCCGTCTGGCTGTAAGTATTTTATTTCAAAAATGTATCGGGTTAAAAATCAAATACTACAGTTCACTGATCTTTAGTTCACGATAAACGATAAATTTATACTTAAGTCGGAATACTGTGAATGTACTCTGATGTTTCCCACAAAAAAAAGAAATTTTAGACTAAAACGGAACAGGTTTGTGTAAAATCCTAAATGTTTTTTTAAACATACATTAACTCCTTCCTCTCTGGAATCGTTTTTTTTTTCTCCAACAGCATCTTGAAGAAATTCTCAGGAAGGTCACCGAACATAGAGATTGGAATGCGAACGACGTCCCCTACAGGTTGCCATAAAGCATTACTGGAAGGGTCGGACGAAGAGTGAAAATCAGTGTCTTTTAATCCGACTTCTTCACTGATGGACTGTTGGTGAGACTGAGCTGCTTCGGTGACAGTTTCATTTTATATTGTTGTTTTAAAAAAAGAAGAAGAAGAATGTAATGTTTAAACATGAGCTGTAATAATGAAGGAAACATGAGGAGAGTTCACGTGGACGTGCTCTGCAGCGGTGGCTGTCGGAGTCTGGTATTAACACGAAATAAAACAGAGAAGGTTGAACTTCACACACGTCACAGTCGTACTTCATACTTGACACAGCAACACCACAAGGTCACGACAGAAACAACACCATACACTGAAATATCTCCTCTCCTGAGCCTAGATCAATCTCCTCAGTCATTGATCAGTTATTGATTTTTTTTTTCTCCCCAACTCCCAGTCCAATATTCCTGGTGTTGGTTCATGTTCTTGTTCTTTTCTTTCTTCTCTAGTGATTCCAAATGTAGATCCCTCTGTTCCAGAGTTAGGAACTGATGTTCAGATTACACTGGGACTACAGCTGCAGTCCTAATCTAGACTAGTGGAGACGCTCACTGTGGCGGTGCGGGTGGAGGGTCAGGTGGACATTTGGGTGAAGGTGCCGTAGTGACCACCACGGTGGAGACAGACTTCTGGGCTCCTGTGGCCATGTGCTGCTGGAGCTGCTGCGCTGGAACTGTTTGGATACGAACCTAAAAACAAACAAAAAACAGACCAGATGTTGACAGAGGAGTTACTGAGGGACTGTTGACACTCGGCAGTGGGAGGTCAGCTGACCTGTGTGGCCTGTCCCTGCTGCTGCAGCTGCTGGAACTGTTGAGCTGTGACGAAGCTCACGGGTTTGTTGCCCGCGATCAGTTTGGTTCCAGCAGGCATGGTGGTCAGGATGATGTTCCTGCCCAGGCTGCTGATACTGAGTGACCAGAACAAACCAAACAGTCCAGTTATTACAGAGTGGAGAGGCACAGCGCTCAGGTCAGGGGTTCAAGTCCTAAGGTGGTTCAAGTCCCTAAAGTCTGGTTTGGTTTTAACCACTAGTTTTCAATCTATGGAAAGTGGTACCCTCTAGTGGTAGGTGGGGGAACTGATTCTCATTAATATAAATATTTGTTCTCTCATGTTTATGTGCCTGGTTTTAGAACTGGATGGTTGTACCAGTTGTAGTAGTACTACGTCATAGTACTTCACCGTGTCCTTGGACGATGGAGGTCACTACACTGGTCTTGTCTGGACGGTGTAGATCTGTGCTGCTGTAGTTAACGACAGTCGTACTGATGGTAGTTGGTGGAGTCAAACATTTGAATAAATAAATAAACGCTGAGACTTACTTGGCATTGATGCTTCCTTTAACAATGGGCGTGGTCACCACGCTCTTGCTCTTCAGCGGTTGGTTGAGGACCGACAGAGGGACGGTGATCTCCCTACGAGGTAATGAAAACACAGAGGTCATGTGACCTTCAGGTGCTGCGGAGATGACACACACTGAGCTGCAGTACTGCAGTACTGCAGTACAGGGCTGCGTGTACTTGTACGTACTGTATGCAGTACGTGGTACCTTCTTACCGTCTGCGTGGTGACCACCGTAGCGGGGACCTGCCTCGCCGTGGCCGTTCCCAGGGTCAGTGGTGACCCCGAGACCCCGGGGGCCACCGTGATTCCTTTGGCCCCGCCCACAACGCTGGCTGCCATGGTGACCACGTTAGCACACGTTGACGCTGTGAGTGTTTTAGAGCCGCTGGTGGTCGTCATGGTGAGGGTCTGCCCCTGCTTCTGAGGAATGACACCCAGGCCAGGCATTATCCTGATGGTGGCGCCGCTCTTGTCGGGGGACGCCACCGTGGTGAAGGTCCTGGACTTTTGGTCGGCCGTGACGGCCAGTGTGGGCATCAGACGGATGGCTGTGTCTCCCGCAGCCTTCAGCAGCGTGGAGGTCACGTGACCGGCTTTGGTGGTCTGTACGTCTGATGCGGCGGAGGCGGGAGGCGGGTGAGGCGGAGTCACGTGTAGCGTGGCTGAAATGCTTTTGCTCCCGGACGCGGCGGAGCCCAGGAAGTCGGGGCTGAGTTTGACCGTCGCCACGGGAGACTTGGTCAGAGTCGCCATCATGTCTGGCGTGATTCGCAGCACCGTCTGGCCCTTGGCGTCCGTGGTGATGGAGGACGGAGGGAGGCGGAGGACATCTTTGCCCTGGATGCGCAGGTTGGTGGCTGTGATTGGAATTGCAGCTCCTGGAGTCTTCATTCCCAGCTGTCCCGTGATGGAGACCTGGAAGGAAAATAAAAACTCGTGTTGACTGAGAGCCAATCACAGCCAAGACATTTTGAAGACAAATCTGTGGAACTATTTGACAAAACTCACTGTAAACTATGTGGAACTGTTTGAGAAAAGAACATGAGGAACTTGAGGAGTATGAATATGAAGTATCATTACCCCCCTCCCCCATTACCCCCCCCCCCT